ACACTACAACATGTAGAGTTGAGAGCGCTCATAGAGCTACCAAGGACTGGATTGATTCATCGACCGCTGCTTTGGATACACTGTTCGCTAGACTGAACAAGTCAATTGAAACTCAGAAGAACGACATCAGGAACTCTCTAGAGGACTCCAGACGACGACATGGTACGATGTATAACCATTTTATATTTAAGATTCTCCATGGTCGTGTGTCGCACTACTGCTTGGGGTTGATTCTCACTGAGCTGAACAGGGTGAGGGACTTGGCTGACGAAGTGTATACTCGGTGTGGGTGTACTATTTCAGTAACTCATGGATTACCTTGCGCATGCACCATTCATCGCGTTATTACAGAAGAAAGGGCGTCGTTACATGTTGATCAGGTCCATTCATTCTGGAGGACGCTTGTTATTGGTGAGCATGCAGACAATCAAACGGCCGACCGTGAACAGGAAGAGTTGGAGCAGTTTCGTTCGATGTACGATCGAGTGTCCTCCAGCCATCCTTCTATTATTCGTGACGCTACTCATGTGCTTCATGACATGTTCCACCCGTCTAACTTAGATTATGAGGAACCCGAAGGAGTTGACCGTCCTCGAGGTCGACAACGGCGGAACAGGAGTGCGTTTGAGTATATCCGTGGTCTTGGTCGTGGTCGTTCTCGTGGTCGGACATCGTCATCTAGTCGTAGTCAATCTTCATCGTCTGTGAATATGCCCCTGAGAACTGGTACGTTTTGGTTGTTTTTATTGCACATAGTTTTAAAGTGTTACTCCTATCTTCTTAACTGTCTATAATTAATTATTTGGTGAATAGGAAGAAACGATGTTGATCAGTTTCCGTACAAGGAAAGGATACCTGCGATCATCATGTCGTACTTGGAAGGGTGGAATGATGTAATCGGAGATGGTAACTGCGGATTCCGGGTCGTGGCTTATGTTTTTCAAATGGGCGAAGACAACTACGGTTTGGTGCGTGAGTTGATGTACAGCGAAATTGCCTCTAACCGAAATGTTTATCGTCATGTGTACCAGGATGACTTGGATGGCGCTCTCCGGCGTATCCGGTGGGGAGGTGGACCTTGCGGCGAAAATCATTATTTTGACGCGCCCCTAGATCTGTTTGCCGTTGCAAACATTTACAAATGCGCAGTCATGCATTTCGGCCTGGGAGTGCATAGTCAAGCTTATTATCCTTGTACCACGGTTCTCCCTTGGCGGTCGCGTGAGACTGTCACCACACCGGTCAGAGAGCTAGCTATTGCGTTTCTTGGGTCGTCATACAGACATTTCATCCGACTAGACATGTCAACCGATTTTCCGGTGCCACCGATTATACCTCGGTGGTACAACATTCGCACAGCGAGCGTAGAGGGTTGGGATGCGCTATATAATGACCGGATCCACGAATGGAACACCCTAGCTGCATTTTAGTTTTTCTTGTTTACATTCTTTATTTGTAATCTTATTTGTACGTTGCTCTTTTAATGAGAACATTAATATTTTATATTTTATTGCTTACTGCATTCTATATGTTGCATGGGTAAGTTGCGCGGATCCACGAACGGTTATATCAAAATTTAAAAACAGCACTGATAATATGTTTAAGTTGGAAGCTAAAAGAACAATCTAAAATGTTACAATTTTACAACATAATGTCCAACATAATGCTCTATAAATAAAATACAATAACCATCAGTAATCCCTCCTCGACGACGACTCCCACTGCGCAAGGGTCTGTTCCAGACTATCAACAACAGCTCTCCCTGTTGCACTCATGCTGTCCTTCTCAAGAGAGAGTTTCTGAACGTCTTGCATTATCTTTCCCATCCACTGCATACAACAAAAAACAGAAGATGAAATACAATAACAACAAATAAAACTTAATTAAAAGACAACGATAAATATAATAAAAGACATACCGCTTCCGTGGCAGTAGGCGGTGGCACATAATCATCATCGCTGTGGTCGAGATCAGCGATCAACCTCGGGTGCGAATACCGGTTGAACCATTCCATGTAGTAATGGTCACACATGGGAGTAACCCCAGAGGGCGGCCGCTGCAACTCCGCTGTCCATAATCGAGCCACCATCGGAAACTGGTCCCACGTCCCGGTCATGATATCCGGCCATTCCACGACGTACTCCCTCGACGATGCAGGTCGGACCGCCTTCATCGGGCACGCCGGGGGAGGAGGGACAACTTGGACAAATCCAAGCTGGCGAAGACAACGCTGGGGCATGTACGCCTCGACGATGTCACGATACTGAATGAGTCCCGTGTACAGGGTCTTGGGTACCCTAACACTAGGGTTCGGGCCGAAAGGCATCCAGTTCACCTGTACAATTACAACATATAAAATATAATAACATGAATATAATATGTGCAAATAATAAAATGTAGACTCTATAAATAAACGTTACCTCTAAGGGGGACAGCCTGTCCAGCAATAACCGTATCGATCGGAGGCGGTCAACGGACTTCTTCTCCGAGCGCGGACTCCACGCACAAGCACGCGGCATCCCCTCATCAATAGGAACTGGGTCACGATGTGGTCGCAATGCAGGAAAGTACTCGTATATCCAAGTCTGCAATAGAGTCAGACACCCAGTGATACCTGCCGCGTCAGCCCGACTCGCAAATCCTAGTTGGCGATACAAATACGCCAACGTAGCCGATCCCCAGGAAAACTGGCCTACACTGTCGGGGTCACACGCCTCTACGATGTCGCGTGGCCTGAGCTTGTTTCCGCCGCTCTTATCCGGAAACAAGGTACATCCGAGGAGTAGAAAAACATAAGCACTCAGCTGTGCGTCGGGCGTCCTACGTGCACTCGGGTACAAACACCGCTGCAACACGAATGCGATCTTCACACCTCCGTGTTCCCAAACACCTAGCGCCTCGGTGTACAGTGCAGCCCTGTCCACCGCCAACAACTCCGCCAGCGAATCTGCCTGATCCGCATCAGCCACATCACAAAGTCGTTTACCCTCAACACGAATCCCCAGAATGGCCTCGACGTCATGTAACATGATCGTCATCTCACCGAACGGAAGGTGAAAAGAGTTTGTATCCGGCTGCCATCGCTCAATGAAAGCCGTGATCAGCGTACTGTCAATCTTATCGTGCATGGTGGCAGGAACGTGCTTCACCCCAGTGCCCTCCAGTCGCTCGAACATCTCGCTCTCCGCCGGCCAGGCCTCAGCCCATGTACGCAAAAAACTACAAGTCTTTTCCCGGGTATGACATTTCAACAACCCCGTAACTGAAGGCCTCTCCTGGTCCTCCCAAATACGGGCAGCTATGTGTCCTAGAAAGCTAGGAATCACACTCCCGTCAACAGGCCCACCGGGCACCTCACTCCTAACAACCCAAGAATCATTACCCGCCCTCGACCGTTTCCTGCTTGCCCCAGATACAGTGGACGCAGATGATGTGCCAGATCTACTAACAAACCTACCACCCCTACCCTTACGCACCTCCACCATATGCGTCTCGTACATGTCATCAACACTCTGACTGAATGGACCGTAATCATCATACGGTCCACTGCCATCGTCCACATCCTCATCCTCATCTGCGCCCTCCTCCTGCTCCTCCTCCTGGTCACCCTCCTCAGCATCATCATCGTCATCGTCATCCTCATCCCGACGGTGGATCCGTTCTCTACGAACTGAGGCCGAAATACCACGGGATCTGACATGTCTATGCCCCGACCTCTCCACTGAATAACTTCTACTAAGAAGCTCTATATTCTTCCCCCCACCATGACGACCCTACACAAAATTTTAAAATATATAAACATACAAAAATTTATACGATAAATAATCATCATCGCAAATCAAATACACTAAAAACATACAAATAATTGTAAACAAAATATAAACGTAGAAAAAATACAACGAAATTGAAAAAATTTATAAAAATAAACAACAAAATATAAAAACAATTCAAAATTATATTACAAAAAAAAAAAAAAAAAAAATTAAAAACAATTTTTTAAAAAAATTAAAAAAAAAATAAAAAAAAAAATGGGGGGGGCGCCTTGGCTGGACGCCCAGCCGGCGGTGGTGGCGCCAGATGCAGACGCCGCCACCAGTTGGCTGGCGCCTGGGCTGGACGCCACAGCCACGGCTGCGGCGCCTAGACTAAACGCCACAACCGTGGCGGTGGCGTCCAGCCCAGGCGCCAGCCAACTGGTGGCGGCGTCTGCATCTGGCGCCACCACCGCCGGCTGGGCGTCCAGCCAGGGCGCCCCACCGCGTTCACGGCGGTTTTCCCCCTTTTTTTTTTTTTAAACAAAATATACCTTTCCTCCTTGGGACATCCTTCCCTCCGCCGCCGCCGCCACTTCCTTGCCTTGCCGCCTCGACATTGCCGTTATTTTGAAATTTTTTTTTTAGAGAGGTTGAAAGAAGATGAGCAATGAGAGTGTGAGTGATGAGAGTGTGAGTGTTTTTTTTTAAGGTCAAGGGCAATTTTGGGAAACCAAGTGAATTTTGTGGGCTTTATGTAGTAATTTGTGGGCGATGTTTAACAAATCCCTTAAAAAAACCTTCTACCATAAGAATACAAAATACATCAAAATAAACATTTTAAAACGAAAGGAGTATCATTTTAAAAGTAATATCCCTCTAATTACTTCCTCCGTTCCAAATTAAATGACACGTTTCTTTCATCACATTTGTCAATGCAAAAGTTCAATCGAAAATATCTTTGATTATATTAATGTAAAGAATAATAAAAACTCAATTTTAATTAAATACACATTGAAATAAATTTAACAAAATTCCACATGATTATTATTATTTTTTTTTTTATATACCTGCAAATCATAAATATTAGTTAAATTAAAATTAACAAATAGTGTCAAAAGTCAAAACGACACATCTAATTTAAAACGGAAAAGTATTGGAGGTGAGAATTACTCGCGATAGAGAGGAATCAAAGGATGGATGATACTTCGTATAAAATTTTGTACGATGGTTGTGAATCTTGTGATGGTGTTACCGTCTTACATTAGGACAAGATAACTTTCCAATATAAGGGGAAGAACAATAGCCTTCGAACATTTTGGATGGTTAGCAAGCTTATGACGTGTCTCGCTCTTCTGCTTCAGTTCAACATTTTTACAGTAAGGGCACACTCTCTGCATCTTCTTCGTCCTCAACACCACCAAACTCCTGCTCACTTGCCATAGTAAGTACAACAAAACTTTGATTGTTCTCCCTTTTTTCATATGATTTATTTTAGTTTTTTGTTTATAATATTTACTAAATTCCTGTTTTCGAAATTATTGAGTTGATTGAATTATTCAGTAACATAATTGATGTCTTAGTCAAATTGATCACTTGTTTGAATAATGAATTGGCGGATTATGTAATATTTGAGACTGAAATTCCATATTTTAATTTTTTTTATTTGATTATTCTTGTAGAAATGGTTTGGAGGAAGAGGATTTTTGTAGATGATCACGGGGAATAAGATCGAATAAGTTCTTGGTTTATGCAGCCGACCCAATCTTTTGGAAATAAGATTTTGGTATCGTCGTTGATGTCGTTTTTGTAGAAGGATTGATGAAGTTAATTGATGTATTGTTATATATTGATGTGAACGAAGTTGGTTGAGTTAATTGAATTTTGTATTAAAAAATTAGGTTATTACACAATGACAAGTTCTAGGAGAAACACCAAGTTTTGTGATAAAGCAAGTGCTGCTAGTGGGAGTTCTGCTGGTACTAGTAGTGAACATTTTGATCATGAAATCGCGCAACTCACAAAGCTTAGATCAGGACCTAATGAGTATATTAGTAAATTGATTGGTGGAAAGAATAAGGATTGGATTTCGCCAGTGAAAATGTTGGCTGCCCGTGAGAGTAATTGTTTTCAAAAATCAAAATTCTCAATGGCAGATGGTTGTCATATGCTTAGTAGATATTTGCCTGTTAATGGACCTTACTTGGTGGACCAAATGGAAAGCTGTGCATATGTCTCGCAATTTTCGTCTGACGGTTCATTGTTAGTTGCAGGATATCAGGTATTCTCTTAGTTACTTGTACGAATGTGGCTGACCAATATGGTTTATCAGTTTAATAAGTATTGAGTTTTGATCTTCTAATTATGTTTTTTTTTTTTTTTTTTTTTTTTTTTTTTTTTTTTTTTTTTTTTGGACATAGGGAAGTCACATTAGGGTATACAATGTTGAAAAAGGGTGGAAGGTTCAGAAGGATATATTGGCTAGGAGCTTGCGTTGGACGGTCACTGATACATCTCTATCTCCTGATAAACGCTATCTTGTAAGTTTGTGAAATTTATGTGATTTGGTGTGAAAAAAAAACCCTTTTAGGTATGTGTTTCTTATAGGACAACCATTTTACTTCTCTAAGAGGAACCCTTAAACCGTATGATTATCTAAATTGATTGTTTTGACCCTGTAGAGGTGTAGATTCCCTGCACAGTTATTGTCCCCACCAGATTTGGAAGGGAAAAAACCGTCATTTTAATCGTCTTGATATGGAAATCACAAGAAACCATCTTTTGAATAACTTAGTATATTTTTAGTTGTTAACGACAAATTTTCCTACATTTATAAATGTATAATCATTAAGAAAAAAAATGCATAATCATTATCATTAAATTTTGTTTTTAAAAAATTCAAAGTTAGACAAGGTTTGATCCCAAATGTTAGAATTATGTCCTTTTGATCTTATACAAATGGAGTATAATCATGTGCATTCTTGAATGGCAAGTTACTTCATCTGTATTTTGACTAAATCTGTTAGATACTAATGCCATGGATGTTGAATGTCTTATACATGATTTGCATATTGTGTATGCTGAAAAGTATTTGTATTTGTTTTTGGTAAACATCTCTTCTAAACTAGTTCAATACGTTGCTCATTCTTGATTTAAGGTAGTGATTACTTATTAATGCATTCTTGTTAATTCATGTTAGCTTTTACTACCGCCACACTGTTTTTTTGTGTCTGCTATGCCATTAAGTCACTCTCATGAATCATGATCTACCACTTTCTTTTTATACACTTCAGATCAAATTATTATCTTTTGGTTGTTTATTCAATCTCCATTTTGAATAATGCTAGAGAAACTTGACGGTGACTATTCTCAGCTACCCATGTCGTAGTTGGTCTTATTTTATGTTGATATATGCATTGAAACTTTGAAAGTAACTAGACTACTCTGGTATGGTTAAAATTTCTTTGCACTTGAACGCTGTTGCAGCTTAGTTTATTGGAAGATCATGGACAGTAACCTGTTTTTTAGGCTATGTAAAGATCAAATGAATTCATGATAGTTTAACTATATGCTATATCATCTTTGGCTACAGATATTATACTGTATCAAGCTGACTGGTTTAATTTAATTGTTTTCCATATTTTTCAGTTAAACTTTAGATTAACAGCTTGCATGACCTGTGTTAGTATGTTACTCAACCTTATCATTTCATCTCAAGCTTCCTACATGTATACTTGTTGCTCCAACGTGGGTGTGCACTCTTGACACTTATTATTTGACTGAAAATTTGCAAAATATTTGTCCTCAACACTACTAGCCTAGTCTAAGTTAACTAGTGCACGACACAACTCTGACGGGACTCATTAAGTAACAAGGGTCATTGTCGTACAAAAGTCATTGCCTTTGTCTTTTTAAGTAATGGAAGCTTTTTGCATTAAACTATTAATTGTCCATTGAAATTATGTATATCTATGAGTTCATAAGTCCAAAGAGAACAATATGTAAAGAACTTATGGATGAGGGAGGGGTATTTTAGGTGATATCTTTATAAGTTAGTTATGGATAGCTTGGGAATAAATTAGGAAATACTTTCAATAAATATAGGGAGAGGGAAACCTGTTGAAGATTATTGCAATGTTATTTTGGGAGAGGGCAAACCTCTCAAATGCTTGTACCTTTCCATCTTTATTGTTTTACAGATTATTTCAATCAAGCTTCATCTTCTTCTTTTAATCCGCACATTTCACCTTTTAAATTTGTCCAAAGCTATTTTAATTTATATCATGATACTGTAAAGAAAATGAGTAAAGAGGAAGAGCAAAATATGAAGGATTTATTGTATTAAAGAACTAAAAAATAGCGTAACTAATAGCTAATAGTATTAATTAAATAGCTTAAGCATTGATACAATTCCAAGAGTTTTGCGGTTACTCGTTTAGGAAGTAAGAGTAAACATGCTTTCGGAATCATCCCACCACTCTCCACTCCTTACACTTGCATCATTCTCACACTATTATTAACATTTATACTATATTCCTTTGTTACCATTAGCTTCCTTTCCGAGTCACATTTATAAAATTTCATAAGATATGTGGAATCAATCAATCAATCAAAGCCTTAATCCTATAAGTGGGGTCGGCTACATGAACCAAATTTGATTATTCCATATAATCATTAACAAAGATCCTCCTCCTCCATCCTTTACGATCCAATGCCTAATCATCATGCACATCCATATACTTCATATCCTTCCTAACTCCTTCCAACCAAGTCATTTTTGGTCTCCCTCTCCCTCGTTTAACCCCTCCATGGTCCCACTCTTCCACTCTTCGTATCAGTGCACCCTCGGGTCTCCGTCTTACATGCCCAAATCAGACGATTTTCCCTTAATTTGTCTGCACCACACCTACCTTCTTGCGAATAACCTAATTTCTGATTCTATCACTTAGAATGTTCCCGCACATCCACCTTAACATTCGCATTTTTGTAACCTCTGACTTTTTTAATGTGCTCCTTCTTAGAAGCCCAACATTCTGTACCGTAAAGCAACACTGGTTTTATGGCAGTCTTGTAGAATTTTCCCTTCATTTATAAGGGAATGCTTCAGTCGCGTAACATTCCCGTGGCCGCTCTCCACTTAAGCCACCCCGACTTAATCCTGTGGGCCACGTCTTGATCAATGTCACCATTTTTCTAGATGGTCGACCCAAGATATTTTAAACATTCGCTCATGGTCAAGTCCTTTCCATCTAAACTCACCATCTCATTGCTTGATTCCCTCTGAGTACCAAAGCGGCATACCAAATATTCAGTCTTACTCCGACTTAGCTTAAACCCTCTAGATTCCAACCTTTGCCTCCATTGCTTTAATTTGATCAGAACGATATCATCCGCAAACAACATACACCATGGGATTTCATCTTAATTGGTCTAGTTACTTCATCTAGGACCGTTGCAAAAAGGAAAGGGCTTTATGCAGACCCTTGATGCAATCCAATTGTAATAGGAAAATCTTTTCTCAACCCTCCACATGTCCTCACATTTGTTGACACATCTCAATACATATCCTTAACCAGGTCCACGTACCTTCGTGGGATACCTTTCTTCAACATTGCCTACCAAAGTACCTCTCTTGGCAACTTGTCATATGCCTTCTCTAAATCAATAAAGACCATATGAAGATCCTTCTTCTTTATCCTATAAAACTCCATTATTTGTCCTATCAAATGGATTGCTTCCATAATGGATTTCCCTGGTATAAAACTAAATTAGTTATTCGAAATGCTTGTGCATGCCCTCAACCTATGTTCAATCACTATTTCCCACAACTTCATAGTGTGGCTCATAAGCTTGATCCCTCGATAGTTAGAACTATCTTGAGCGTCTCCTTTGTTTTTATAGATCGAAATCAAGGTGCTCTTCCTCCAATCTTGCGGGATCCTTGTAGCACTCCATATCTTGTTAAAGAGGTTTGTTAACCAATCAATACCAGTCTTACCCAAATACCTCCACACGTCTATCAGTATACCATCAGGGCCAACCGCCTTCTTAGGCTTCATCTTCTTCAGTGCAATCTCCACCTCTACTCTCCTAATCCTCCGTACATACTCCATGTTGATTTCTTCATTACTCAGAGGTATCTCCCGTCGCTATGCCATTACTTCCATTAAACAATTTATTAAAGTACCCCTTCCACCTGTCCTTGATGTCCTCATCTTGTACTAGAACAACTTGGTTCTTATCTTTGACACACTTTACCATGCCAATATCCTTCCTTGCCTCTTGTCTTCTCTTCGCCATCTTATAAATGATCTTTTATCACTCCTTGGAGTCGAGCTTTTCATAAACCTCCTGATAAGCTTTTTCTTTCGCTTGGCAAACATCTGTCTTTGCCTTACTTTTAGCCTCCTTATACGCTGCAAAGGTTTCGTCGCTCCTACATTTTCCCAGGGCTTGATAACATTCCCTTTTTTGCTTAATTACTACTTTCACCTCTTCATTCCACCACGAAGTATCTCGCTGCATCGAAGTTCTCTACCTTGATTCTCCTAAGACCTCTTTGGCCACTCTCAAGAAACAGTTTTTCATCCGTAACCAAGTTATGTCTGGATCCATATCTCCATCCCAATCCGCCTCCTTAACTACCTTTTCTGTAAAAACTTTAGCATTTGCATCCCTTAAAGTCCACCATCTTATCCTTGGCTCCTCTTGTCAATCATAACCAAAAGCCGGTGTTGGTTTACCACAATCTCGCCTGGTATGACCTTGCAGTTTAAGCAACTTTGTCTATCCGTGCTCCTTGTGAGCAGGAAGTCTATATGTGTTGCATTTGCTCCACTTCGAAAAGTTATCAAGTACGAATCTTGCTTCTTAAACCAAGTATTAGCCAAAATTAAATCATATGATTGGGCAAAATCCATAATAGCCTCACTACCGGGCGTCCCTCTGCCCATACCCAAAGCCTCCATGAACCCTCACGAAGCCATCTCGGCTCACCCCAACATGCCCATTGAAATTACCTCCAGTATATAATTGGACATCCCTGTACCACCTCATCTAAATCCTCCTAAAATTGTCGTTTCTCTTCTGCACCTAAACCAACTTGGGGAGGAGAAGCACTAATAACATTCACAATCTCCTTGCCACATAGCAATTTCACCCTTATCAACCTCTCATTCTTCCGTTAGACCTCGATTACCTCTTTCGACAACCTTTCATCAAAAATCACACTAACTCCATTCCTAGCTCCACCATCAGTCCTATTGCTCGTTTTCTATTCAACGTACTAAACCTTATACCCCAAAACCAAGCCTCGAGCTCCTTCTCCGGTCCACCTTGTCTCTTGGAGGCACATAATGTTTACCTGTCTTCTACCACTTCTGTTGATTTCTTCGTAAGAGACCTCCCATTCCAGAATCCAATCCGCAAACTAGAGTCCTTCCTCACACGCTCCCTTCTACCATGCTCACTAGTACCACGCTCTCATGCCCCCACTTGCAAGCCCTTGGTCATTTGACACCACACATGCATGGGTAATGTGGCCCGTCGCTTCCTGGCGACAACCTAGCAACCCTTGCATACTTATCACAATCTAGGAAGTGTAGCACGTTGCTCAGTAGGGGACGCCCCCACCAAAATATCAGTTTCGCTCATGTCATGGGATGTGACAAAGTTTTACACTAGCTGTCAATGGCCTACCGATACCCTCCAAACCCACTAGCGGAGTTATAAGATATCTGGAATGGACAAGGATTTTTTCTGTTGATTATTTGCTAATAGTCTTTGCAAGTAATTCTATTCTTGATTACAAAATGAACTTTTACACTATGCAAATCTTATTTTATGAGAGAGGGAGGTAGGGAAATGCTTATAGTGTGGGAAACCGAGGAGAGGAGAGGAGTGGGGAAAAAAATTGAATAAATTTAGTGAAATTGATAGTGTGTAGTAGAAATTACAGATGATAAAAAATAAAAAATAAATAAATAAATAAATAAAAAAAAAAAGCCATCAAATGATAAATAAAAGCCATCAGATAATGAATGAGCAATCAGACTAAGAATATGGAAAGAACTAGGCATGAGGATATTTCTAACTTTCAGATGTTCTGTTCTTGTTTGTAAGTTTCAATATTTAAAATTGTTTTGATAGGCTATGAACAAAAATATGTGAAAATATTCATGCTGGTTAACTTATTTCAGACTTTAGATAATGTACTCACTGTCTCTCAATACCCTATTCGTTTCTTTTGATCACTTTTTCCAACACAGTTTGATCATCAACACTTAGATTATCCATTAGTAAAAATTAAAACTAATTGATTTATTGACATTATACATTGAGATTAAGCCAACAACATTATTGTTATAGTATTTTTTTTTTTTTCGTTTGTATACTAATAAAGTTTGGTAAAAGTAAGGGGGTGTTTGGTTTAACAAAGAGAAAGAGAGAGTTTAAGAAATGGAAAATAAGAGAAAGGAATCTTGAGCCCTTAGATTTAGGTAGCTGTTTTTTTTTTTTTAAATAAGAATGATCATCTCCCACCACCATTATTAGCCCCTTCAACCTCCTTCACCACCACCTATCCTTCTACCTACACTTCCACCATACAACCACCTCTCCTTCCTTTTATTTGCCTCATTATTGTCGCCGTCTGGCTTCCCTCGCTGTCGCCGCCCTCTTGATGCCCCGACTGTCATCAATGTTCTTATTTCTCTATCTTTTTAAATGAAAATGTTTAATTCTGGTGGCTTTCGGGGGCCGGTGGGCTGGTTTATGGGTTGGTGGGTTGATCTTAGTTGGGTTTAGGGTGGTTGAGTGGGGGTGGGTTTCGGGTGGGTTTTTGGTAGCTTCAAGTATGGGGTGGGTGAGAGGTGGTTTTGGGGGTTGATGGGGGTGGGTGGTGCAGGTTTTGGGTGGCTGTGGTGGGGTTTTGAGTGGGCATGAGGTGTACCAGTGGGGGCAGCAACGACGATGCCAGTGCATATTTTGGCGTTGTGGTGGTTTGGCGGTGCCGTTAGAGGTGGTGTTGGGTGGTGCTGATGAGGCGATGAGTAGTGTGGTTGGCAGTGTTTTAGGGTAGTTCAAGAAAGGGAATGGAAATAGCATGGGAAGTGGGGAATCAAAGTAGAGGACTATAGGGTAAATGGAGAGGGTAAGGGGAATGATTAAAATGTTATTATAAACAACAACGGGAATTAGCCTAGTTCATTATCTTTCCCTTTGATCATTACCCCATACCAAACACCCCCTAAATATGTATGTAGTTAGGTATTGTGGCACAAAGGGACTATCAACCTAATTCGCGATTTGTTATCTTCATTGAGTTTTATGCTCATGTTGCCATGGTTACTAAATCTTCTAGATCCTAATAGATTCACTATGGTGTAAAAATATTGTCGTCTCATTTTGGCTATTACCATGTCTATACTAATTTTTGTTCATGTCATCCATCTAGCTAACATAGATTTGGTATTTGTAAGTGCAGGTTTATTCAAGTATGTCACCCATTGTTCATATTGTTGACGTGGGATCTTCAGTTACAGAGTCTCTTGCAAATGTTACGGTATGTCTCAAATTATGTCAGAAGTGGCTTTTGGAGTTTTGGTTCATTCATGATATGTTTCTCTTACATAAAACAGATTAATAAGATTACTAACTTATATTTTGTTTACTGATTAATGGATAGATGAGTTTCCAAATTTGGTGGTTTTTTACTTATTTATTTATTTATTTATTTATTATTTATAATAACCCTATTATTTTCATGTCTTGTTTGACCCATTGTGGCTTCATCCCTTTTAAATTTTTGAACATGGAGGTCACTCATGCTCAACAAAGTTTTAGAGTGATGGCAAGAGTGTCAGAGGGAGGGTTGGAGCTTGGCAGAAGCAACTGACTCATCCCCCTTTTTTTAAGTTTTTGGTTATAACCCTTAGAGGGTACATTGTACTTTATGGTTGAACTGCTTAAATTTTGTCATTATAAGTAAATTTCAGTTATTTCTCTTAGAGGATGCCTTCTCTATGGTTTTCACATTGTAAATAATATTTCTTTAGAAAGGTGAATATTATAAATTTCTATTTTCTAATATTTTGTATTTTGTACAAGTTCTTTTGGCAAATATCAATTTTCTTACAATTTCTGTGAAATTGGGTATTAGGGATCGCTAAGATAAACAAAATTGTGCATTATGTATGCTGCAGCAATAATTTCTAGATTCATTTATCTCATTATTACTTATTTAAAGTCCCAAATAGCTAAGATCTTATATGAACATAGAAACTGATAGATGTACTGAGCATAAACTTAAAGATTCTCAGTCAAAAAAAAAAAAAGGTAGGCTAATACTTGATATTGATGAATACAGCTGTACAGTTAAGTCTTAATCCTGGAGTAGCAAACTGTAGTTTCTAGGTTGACAACAATTTATGTCAATGTTCATCATCAATTTGTTCAAAGTCTTATCCTGATCTTTCTTTCTATACCAAAGCTATATTCCAACCTATATAATATTAATTCTTTTGCTTTCAGTGCTAAACTATTGGCTTATGCTATACAGATATAATTCATCATTAAATTTTTATATGTAATACTGCATCAGGAAATTCATGAAGGTCTGTACTTATCAATAGTCGATGGTGAAGACAATGGAAATAGCTTTAGTATCTTCTCTGTAAAGTTCTCAACAGATGGCCGAGAGATTGTGGCTGCAAGCAGTGATAACTCTATATATGTCTATGATCTTGTAGCGAACAAGCGAACTCTCCGAATACATGCACATGAGGTATTTTGGCTTTTCTATAAGTCTTATGATTTACTTATGCTGTGTGAGCCTTTTTCAATTATGTTCTGAGGTTTGTGTCTTTGTCTTGAGGAAGCTTCAAAGTCTTATATCTTTGATTTTCCTGGTTAATACATTGGTTGTATACATTGGCCTTCATCCTAAAGTTATTGTATTTTCTGTTATGGTATGTCCAGAAAATTTCCACTTCTGAATATGCATGCAGTAAACTTTTAAACTTCCTGATTCGCCCTTTTATATAAAGATAATACTCATTAGAAAATGTTATTGTGGTGATTGACAACTGAAAAGGCTGAATGGAGATTTCTTCTCTTGGTCTGGATACTGCTCTGCTGGTTTATGTTAGATTTTGGTTGCTTAAGCTGTGGTATTAGTGAACTTTGAAAGTCTCTTATTTACTTTAAGCTTCATCTACTCTCTCATTTTTTAAAACAAGGTTTGACTCTGTAAACATAAGCAGAATGTGTGAATTTAGCCTCATAGTTTTCTTGTATTTTGTTAGATTTTATCTTTTGTATTACTTTTACAAAAGTGTGTTGTGGATTGTCTGTTTCAGGAAGATGTTAATACTGTGTGCTTTGCTGATGAATCTGGTCATCTGATATATTCTGGAAGTGATGATAGCCTCTGCAAAGTAAGCCGCTTTCATTGTTTTTGCTTAGATAATTTGGCATCCATATTCGTATCTAGAAGCGAGTCTAGAATGTTTGGACATTTGGTTTTATTCTTGGGAAAATTTCACATACCGCATACCTTTTTCAATTTCACGTGAATACTTGCACCAGTCTTCACAGTATTATTTATAAAGTTTCTTTTTTTAATTTTTTTTTTTTATTTGGGGATCGAGATAGTAAATGATGTTTTTGTATGTTCCAATTGCTTTATTAATGACAATGAAGGAAAACTACAGCCCTCGACTAATATAGCCCTTTTCAATATCTAATCAACCAAAACAAACTACAAGCAGAGAGCTTGGGCATCATGGAACTTCAATAGCAAGTAGTCCAAAGGAGGGAACCTAGCAACCTGTTGAATTTTCTGTTGGTTCAAAGCAGATTTGCAGAAAATATAGGAAGACTATATTACTTTAATGGTCATTTTTCATCATCTGCTTCTTTACTGTATTTCTTTACTGTAGGAATTTGTATTGCTGATTTTTTTTTTTTCGTTCAGATTCCTCTTCCCTGGTATTTTCTTTTTTAATGCTTTTCGGTGTTCACTGTCCTTAAATTATGCTGGTAAAACCGTACTGAGGGGCTAGAGAGATTTTTAAAGTGCAGTTCAGTTCTTGTTTCAAATAAGTGAGGTTATCTGTTAATGTATTTGAATTAGATTCTTTCTCCTAATTGGAAAATTCGCTGTGTTTAGTTTAGGCCAATGTTTCTAGGTGTATGAAATCTGGTGATTGAATTAACCTTACTCCTGCAAGTGTTTATGTTCTTAGTAGAGGCAGAATTGATATTAGGTCATTGGCGGCTTGCTGATGCTGGGTGAGAGCAGTGACTTGTAGGTGAGTGTTGATGGGGGCGCGGGGGACTTACTTTTTGAGAGATAGTGGGGGAACTTACTTTGTGACAGATAGTCTAAGAAACTGATTACACCTGTGAGGTTGGAATAGGGGATAGATTTTCTGGTGAAAGAGGAGATAAAGGTTGATAAGATATTCTTAAAGGTGAAGATAAAGGGTAATTAATTGTTTCATTGTTTAATCTTATTAATTGGATTAAAATGATTGTAAAATTCTATCCGGGGAATATTCGTAAGCATTTTCCAAATGACAAGGCTCCTCAAAATGTAAAGCTTTGAGTCTTTTTTATTTTGTAACTCTTTTTTTTTTTTTCTTTTTTTTTTTTTTTTTTTTTTTTTTTTAATAACTAAAAGAATTTATTTGTCAATTACTATTATATTCTGTTCAAAGAAGCTGGACCTGAAATTACAAACCTGTCGTTTAAACTATTTTGTAAATAATTCTTGTGTTTCTTATTTAGTTATTAGTCATGTATGTTAAGCTGAAGTTCTGGCCTTTCTATTTCACATTATGACCAGTTCTAAATTTGTGTCCAAGTATGGAATATGGATGCTTTTGGTCATGCAAGAATTTAATGAATGTCATGTCTTGTACTGCCATTTTCATGTCTTTGTTTGATACTGATCTTAACCAAATTAAAGTGCATCTTTATTTTAGGTGTGGGATAGGCGTTGCCTCACATCAAGATGTCAACCTTCTGGAACATTAATTGGTCATCTAGAAGGCATTACATTTATTGACAGCCGTGGTGATGGACGTTATTTTATATCCAATGGGAAAGATCAGACTATCAAACTGTGGGATATTCGTAAAATGTCTTCTAACTCTGCATGGTAAATTTAATAACCACCAAATAACATGATACATCCTTTCTTATACAAGCATATTTTTGTTTTTTCGCTACAATTTTAATTAGAAAAGTCCAGAAATTTTATAAAAAGGTTATGTCCCCTATTTTTATGCTTCAAAGCCTTAATCTTAAATTGATACAGACCTCCTAATATGTAGACTTGTAGAGTATTGAAAGTAAAACTTGAACTATCATTGGCATTGTACTAAGAGATCTTTTCGGTTAGTTCTAAAGTTGTGTTACTGTATATAGTCTACATGCTTGTTGAGCATAACAATTTTTTGCTTTGTGATTATTTCAGTGCTACTACACCAAGAAACTATGATTGGGATTACAGATGGATGGATTACCCTGAAGAGCTTAAGAAGTTAAGACACCCAAATGACCAATCTCTAGCAACATATAGAGGACATTCAGTCCTTCGCACTCTAATACGTTGCCACTTCTCCCCGGAATACAGGTAATTAATTTCTTCTATCTTGTCAGGATTCAAGAGATCTGTAACAGTTTTACGTTACTACAATTTGTTGCCTAGTCAATTAGTTTTGTTTGAAACATTTTGAGGATATAAAATGCTTTGGCTAGAAATCAAAATTTTAATTTTTGGTTGAAAGATATTCTGTAATTGACTCTAATTATCCTTCTCGAGATGATAGGGGCCAGTTAGAGCTTGAGGTACAAGTGCCTGCTGAAATAACTGCTCTGTTGCTGCCACAACAGCACCTTAGCTTCTGTATAATTGAGAGTTCTAAATTTTCCTATATCAGGAACAAGCTCATTTCATGTCAGCAGAAATCTAAAATTGAATTTTTTTAACCAAGTTTGTTGTGATATCGAAATGACTGATTTATAACATTTAAGGATTTTTTAATATTCCGTATCATGGACGTTACACACTAAGCAAGTGAAATCACTTGGCGAAGTTCTCCTTGCATCTATGCTATTCATGGGAGTGAACTGGTTATATTATTTGATGGTATATTGGTGAAAATAATTCAACATATATGGTAGCAGGGATTTTTATTTTTACCTTGTGGTTGCCATTTTATTTGTTTTGTGGTGTTGGTCAAGTAGTATCTTTTTGCTTTAGATTCTAATGCTTGTGTTTGCTTGTTGCAGCACTGGTCAAAAATACATTTACACTGGATCAAATGATGGGACTGTCTATATCTATGATTTGGTAAGTATTGATTTTTTCCTCTTGTGCATAATGAAATTTATTCTGGACCTGACATATTATAACCTTCATAAAAAGTTTGCAGTCCCATGAACAAGAGTGGTGTTCAATTAAAAAAATAAAATAATATAATCTAAAATTAAAATTGAAATTCTAATTAGGAAGACATTTTAGTAAATCCTTTTATGCTATGCAACGTCTTGAGGGCAATCTGATTCAGCCTTGTGAGTGTTAAGCATTCCGTTAACAATCAATAATTTGTTTTCTCTCGATATTTCTTTGCTTTATGCTATCTCTAAAAGTTCTTCTAAGAATTGATGATTAAGTCTGTGTACATAGGCATGTTCTAATTTCTCATTGAGGCTTCTTTACATATGTTTAATCTACGAAACAATGAGATAGCACAGAGCTCATCTGAAAAGTTTACATCTCTAGACCATGTTACGAAATAAAACTCCAATTATATTAAGATCCCACGTTTTTGGACTCGCAATATTGACCTTATAAAATGAAAGGGGGAACTCATTGCATTGGGATGTCAGTATTTCTTCTGTGACAACAAATTTGCTTTACTTAAACTTATCTCTTTTCTACTTAACTAGGTGACTGGAGCATTGGTTTCCAAACTCAGTCATCATGAAACTACAGTGAGAGACTGTTGCTGGCACCCTTACCTCCCAATAGTCATAAGCTCATCATGGGATGGGATGGTTATCAGATGTGAATTTCGAGGCGATGAAGTAAATCCGCCTCCTCTTAAGCGAAGACGTCGTAGAAGATACTTGATATAAACTTAGCATTGGCCGTGGATCAAGCGCACTGACTTTATAACAAGAGTTGTAAATTCTGATGACACTGGTTTGTAGATTATAGATATTGTGTTGTAACGTATGCTGGTTTTTTTTCTTCTTTTAAACTATTTCCATGGATAATGTTAGAAGATATCATAATTCCTTAATTATGATAATCTTAACTAAAATCCCAGCCTATCGCCTATGTAAGCAAAATGCACAAAACAAAAAAATAAAAGGCTGTTTTCTTGTTAAAATAAATGCACAAAACCGCTATTTAAATGACGGTAGGTTGGGAATTTTGTTAAAAAAGGTCATAATTAAAGAACTTAATTGATATATTCTATCATTTTGTATGGATATTGTTTATTTTTTATGGCACTAAAGTCATGTATCTTGACTTGTTTGTTCCTTGCTATTGTCTTGAAAGCCTATTGTAAATGTAATCCAGGAACCATCCTGAGAATATGATCCAAAACTAACTACTTCCTTGGGTTATTTTTAAGTGACATACTAGCTTCCGTGTATAGTATTAGAAGCATTATAAGTTATGGGTGGCAATTCGGGTCAGCAGGTCGGGTTCGGGTCAGATTTCGGATTGTGCTTAAAACTATCAAAAATAGTGTAAAACTGAATATTGTTACGAAATATGGAATTTAGGTCAAATCGGATCGAATTCGAGTTGCTCGGGTTTGAGTTGGGTTCAGGTTCGAGTTTCTCTCAATAACTTCGGGTTGGGTCAGAGATTGCCAGCCCTATTATAAGTGGGTTTCTGGGTTGGTAGATTCTTATTATCTAATGTTTTTGGATTATATGTCTAAATATGCTTTTGTAAAACAAACTTTGCATTATGGCTTTATTTGTGCACATAATAACTAATCTACATATTTTTGGTGTTTGTTATAATTATTACTCCTCGTAAAGTTTAGTATAATACTAGGTTAGGTCTCATGTCATGCACGGTTATTATCTTTATTTATTATTGATTTAATGTAATATTTAATTGATAAAAATATAATATAAATAGTCTAAATTCATCATGGACAAAAATGAAGTATTTGATATAATGAAACATGGAATATCATGCTTAATTGACATTCTAATGTTTCAACCATATAAGAAAATCTATATTTGCTGATATATTAAGATAAAGATTATATAGGAATAAAAAAAAAAAAAAATAGATTCCTAAAAAACAATAGAAAGAAGGATTAAAAGAAAGGGAGAGGATGTGAGTTTTGACGAAAAATTCTATACGTATATACTTATAAGTATCATATATTGTAATGTCTTGTTTTTAGTCATTAAGGCCCTGTTTTTTTGAGTTTCTGGGTAGAGCAGAGCAGATCTCAGTCGAGCAGAGCAGCTCAAAAGAACAGGGCCTAACTTTTGTCTATCTCAATTGTATCCTTGAAGTAGATATTTTGTTCACCACACAAACTTATAGTAGAAAATTGTATTTTTAAAAAAATATTATATTTTCCACATTAGTTAATTGAATTTCAATATTAAAAAAAGAAGGTAAATATCATTGCCATTTATATAGTAATTAATTTTTATAAATAATTTCTTTAAAAAAGTTTTCTATTAGATTGATTTTTAAAAAAAATACTAAGGACACATCAGAATCTAACATGTGTCATTGTTGGTGTCTTTTATTATATAGTTATTGATTAATTTTATTTTTTTTAGTTTAAATAGTCACCATGATATGTAATTTTCTATATATTGCTATATTTTACTTGTCTTAAAAATATCTAATCATATATCTAATGACTAATCCCCAACATTAAATTATATCTAATGACTAATAGAATCAGTTTAAATTATCAACAAACCATCAATATAATATTAATGCCCCTATTATACCCTCCATTCCAAATTGTTTATCCCATAGCCATAATTTCCTTTAATGAGAGGAAAAAAAAAACAATGTAAACTGCTTTGTGTTTTTATGTAGATATTTATGGTATGAAATAATCATTTAAATATTACTTAAAAAGAAAAATGAGATAAATCACCTTAGTTTCACTTATTAGGTTTTTATATATGTCCAGTTTAGAAAAAATAAGTTCTAATAAGGGTTACCTAATTACAAATTACAACTAAAATAATTTCAGGTAAATTTAGATAAATTCTAATAAGATAAGATAAGTGAAAATCAAGTGAATTAAACATACACTTAAAACAAACATTTACAAAAATCGGATATATAATAAAATATTGTAGATCCGCTGTAAAGTTACCTTAAAATGGAGACATTTTAAAGGGAGGAAAGTAGGTACATAACTTGGAGCATAATGGTAGCTTAGTACAACAAAAAGGTGATGGGACCACATATTTCCACTTTAATTTTCAGATTTTAATTGTACCACCATAGTCATTTTAATACCATTACAACTACTATTATACCAATACACTCTTCCAATGACATAATTTCACAACCTAGTGGTACATATATTAGTTTCAAAAGTATACCACTGTAACAATCTTTAGTGTAATTTTAATTATTTACAGTACTATTGTAATAACAACGATACATTTCACATCTCAGTGGTACTAATGTTAATTTTTAAAATATTTACGAATTGTCACGTTATGTACCAACAAATACATAACATTTCTACATTACCCTGTAATGAATGAAAGTTTCCCAATATATATATATATATATAAATATATAAGTTACTCAATATAAATATAAGTTATTTATGCTTTATTGATAAAAGTTATCTAAAAAATTCTAAAAATTACGCTGAATCCAGTAAAAGTTACCTCAATGTAAAACAATTTTTTATTTTTTATTTTTTATTTTTTTAAAAGTAATTACTGTATATCAAATTGTTTACAAAAGTTTTTGTACCCTTAAATGAATCAAAAAAATTATCTAATTAATTTATAAACACCCCAAATTGCGGAAGATGAGCAATAAAATATCTAAACGCATACACAAATAGAGTCAAAAGCAATACCAATAGGAAGAACAAACGAACAATCACCTGTATCAATCAGACCGCATAATTAGACTCAAAACAAAAACAGTACGAGTAGACGAGTAGTACTAAATTCCATTATTATAATACAAACGACGCATCACCTGTCAACCACCTACTCTAAATTCATCAACCTTTCATACCAACTTTCTATTTTCTTAATATAAAAAAACCAATTATATCATCGTTACTATTTTCACTTTACGCTGCACTTCTCTCTCCTCCATTGAAACGTACTGTGAGATCCCCCATTGAAGCATCTTCTTAGGTAAAATGCATTTTCATTTTTTATTTTTATAATATAATCTAGCATCAATTTCATAATTTAGGGTTTAATTTCATATTATTGTTGATTTAATTGTTAGTATTGCTTATTCAGAGATGTCATGAAGTGATGAAATGAAACCATTGGTTATATATATTGATCTTAGTAATGCTTATTAACAGCTGTTTTGTTGCTAGATTTTTGCGATGATTCATGTTCTATAAGTTTTTTGAATCGAATTTTATAATTTAGTTAAATTTGGTAGCTAATGTGTTGCATATCTCGAGCCTAATCGAGCCAACGAGCCGAGCCGAGCCGGAATATTTTGAGGCTATTAGAGCCTGAACCTAGCCTGAATTATGAGGCTTGTCGAGCTTGAACCGAGCCTGCCTAAATGTTATCAATCTTGATCATCATGAAACATGCATGTTTTTTGTGACAATTATAGGGGGTATTTTAATTAGTGATCATTCTTTCATTCAAAGATGCTAAACTTTATTTGATTATGGTAATCTAGATAATTTTTTTTTTAATGTAATAATTTGAATGTAATAAGTGAGTTATTAACATAATAATTTGTTCAGCTAAAAAATGGCCTCTGGTGGTTGGGTTATGGAGAAACGATCCACGATTAAAAATGATTTGTTTACGGACAAAGAGGACTCTGACAGTTCATTGGCAAGTGGGTCACTTTCTATTATCGTCCTTGGTGCTTCCGGGGATCTTGCCAAGAAGAAGACTTTTCCTGCTCTATTCAACCTCTACCGCCAGGTTTGATTGTGTATATATGCTGACTAATTCGTCGTATAAATTATGTGATTATAGGCAGATCATGTGAGATATTTTGAGCTTTCCTGTTATCGGACCAAACAGAAAAGGAGCTTATCAATGTTCCCTGCCCAATTTAATCTACCATTGCTGCTTGATTAAGTCAACTGTTTATTTGAAGTAATCGTAGAATCTGGTCAGCTCAGGTGTTCTCTTGTGAAGATTGAATTAAGATGTTTATTTCTAGAGGATTAGGATTTTAAGCTTGTGATGCAATGGGATAAAACGTCAATATGATTGCACATATATTCAAGTGGCTGCATTTTAGGAAATATAATCTTAAACAACTATGACTACGAGTATTGTATTAGAAAATATGACAATGTTTTTGTGGACATCTATACGTGACTTTTAATTTCTTACTGAGGGAGTAAAAACTACTTCGTATATTATTTAACAACTTGTAAAATTATACATCAACTTGTTTCTATCATATGGTTTCTCCGTTGCTAGGCATTTGAGATGGATTAACTTGAAATGTTGACATATTCTTAGGGATTTCTTCCTCCAAGTGAGGTCCATATATTTGGTTATGCAAGGTCAAAGATGACAGATGATGAATTGAAGGATCGTATTCGTGGGTGAGATATTTTGATTTATGTTTCCTTTGTGTAAATGTGGCTAATGTCATACTCAGACAAGGATTTCCTAATCTTGTGCTGCTAAATAATTTTTACTCTTAAACGTAGGTTTATGATGATATTTCTGATTCTTTTCATAGAAAGCTTTGAGTTACATGTTATTACTCCCTTTGTCCCCAACTAAAAGTATCATTTTCCTTTTGCACAATTTTTTAGAAAGTTGTATAAAATAATATGATAGTGGGGTTTGGTTGATTAAAAGTAAATACATGAATAGATAATGGTGAAACGAGACTTTTTATTTAGGAACAAGAGTCGTAGGTTAAATGCAATTTTATTTGGGAACAAAGGGAACATATCTATTTGATTCATATCATATTATACTGTCAGAGTAAAAATACATATTACTTGTGCATGGACTTATTCCAGCTAAAATTTTTCTACCATTGTGAATAGTTCTACTAGTTGGAATAAACGATGTTTTTCTCATGAATGCAGGTATTTGTCCCCTTCCAAGAATGCAACACCAGAGGTGTCTAAAGATGTTTCCAACTTTTTGGATTTGGTAATAATCCTTTTATATTTTCATTTTGTATTTAGTTTCCAAGCCGATGGAAAAGAATTATAAATTTTTTCATGCTTACTGCTCCAGGTCAAATATGTCAGTGGATCTTACGATTCTGACGAGGGCTTTCAATTGTTGGATAAAGAAATATATAAGTATGAGTACGAGATGAATCGTCAAGAAGGAATGTCTAGAAGATTATTTTATCTTGCTCTACCTCCTTCAGTATATCCATCCGTCTGCAGAATGATTAAGCTCAACTGCATGAATAAATGTA